CGAGTCTTGATCATGCAGAGCCCTGGAAGAGTGAACTTGCCAGTCTTCTTCACTTCCCCTGCACCAATCTCTGCCAACGCGTTCAACACCTTTGTGATCTCAGCCTTCTTCAACTCGGTGGCATTGGCCAACTCACCAGTAAGACCTCCCTTGGACATAGCCTTCTGACCCTTCATGGCCTTCGTGGCAACCTTCTTGGCCTTGCTAGCCTTCATTGCCTTTGCAGGAGCCATGTCTTCGAAGGATCTACAGCAAAATGTCACAAAAGCACAGTTTGAGCCAGATCAACTTTAGAAAGAACACCAACAACTTTGGGCAAATTGTAAGTGCGATATTATATATATATATATATATTATATACATACATGAGAACTCCCGAGCGAAAGCAGTTGGGTCTCACCAAATGCCACAACACGATGATGAAAAATGCAGAACAAACGACGAACAGGAGCTCTTCTTTCTTTAGGAGGACTAGTCACAGGAACTCGTCAGAAAGGTTCAAGGCAGTCATACGTCCTTTTCAAAGGAAAACGCGGATTCTGATGCTCCTTTTTTGCAACAATTGCCTGTCATGTCGTCCAACGATAGTGTACAAAAGGCTGAGCCTCAAACAACTAGTTCAGCTCCAAACCCCCAAGGTGCCACTAGCCGTTTTTGGCTACAGCTCCATGGCCTAAACAACCATGGCCTCAGATCTGGCTTTTGAGAGCGGCCACTGGAAATGCCTTCACAACAGTCTTGGCTGGCTGGGCCTTGACCACCATTTCCTTGCCGAACATGATCCTCTTGCCTGCCTTGGTGGCCTTCTTCTGACGAGTCTTGATCATGCAGAGCCCTGGAAGAGTGAACTTGCCAGTCTTCTTCACTTCCCCTGCACCAATCTCTGCCAACGCGTTCAACACCTTTGTGATCTCAGCCTTCTTCAACTCGGTGGCATTGGCCAACTCACCAGTAAGACCTCCCTTGGACATAGCCTTCTGACCCTTCATGGCCTTCGTGGCAACCTTCTTGGCCTTGCTAGCCTTCATTGCCTTTGCAGGAGCCATGTCTTCGAAGGATCTACAGCAAAATGTCACAAAAGCACAGTTTGAGCCA